CAGCCTTGGGTGCTCACATTATGCTCGCCGCGCAGTTTTTTTCATGCAAGGATATATTATACCTTATTTATCAAACTCAAATACTACGTCACAGCAATTACTCGCAGCGACGTGTTACAAGACAGTAATAACCGTTACCTGTTGTAAAGTTTCGTGTTGTTCGTGATCTGTCTGGCGTTGCTTGATTAAACCTAAATTGCGGTAATGATATTCCTTCCCGAACACCAAATGCTTCAAGAGTATCGCCATCTGGTGCCCATTGCAGAATCAAGTCAACAGTTGTGTAAGAAACTGTAATATAAGCACGTGTACTCCTAATATATATACAGTGAGTGATATTTCTATCAGGGGTTAATTCTTTACACTCGGGTTCTCCACACGCGTCAGGGGGAATCTCGTCTCGTCTCTATATCTCGTCCCCTTGAGGTACGGGATCGGGAATTTCACTTTAACTTTACAGTCAAATAAGACACACACAACGAAATACGTTTCAGCTCTCGTCTTAGTCGGTCAATTGAGCACTCTATAAGACACAGCGCCCTGGGGAAAAATCCCCAAGACTCTCTTAGACTGCGTCAAGGCTCGCCCCAAGGCTCTCCAGAACTGCTCTCTCGACTTTCGACTGCGTCTATCGTAGAGTACTTGCCAAGACCGACTCAAACTCTCTTTATTCATTTTCAAAACTCTAACCAATTACAAAACAGTAAAAAGACTCTAGGGCGTAACCTTCAATCATAAAGCCAATCACACTAAGCACTGAATGCGTCATATGTTTTGATTAATCGTTCACTACATTAATAACTATGGAAATCAACTGTCAGAATAAGTAATCTAAATAGCGGCGGTTATCTGGTAATTAGTTCCAAATCACTGAGCCAACTTCCGTCCAAAACTTCAAATAGGCCTAAACGATGACAGATATAACACAGCAATTCGCTAATAATCAACTAATTAAGTTGGTCAACAGATACGCAAAAACAAATTCATGACATTTCGCACGACCAAGACGTAATAATTTGTAACATTGCGAGGACACAAAAGTCATCTCTTAATGTATACACGACAATAGACGCATGCCGGACATCGCTAGCCAAGGCTTGCTTATTCGGTTATCGCTTCCCCACACTACCTGCGGAACATGTACAAGTGTATTAAAGTGCCTCCTCTATGACAATTCGACATCCCGTCATTTAGATTTATGTCTATTGCCAAATGCTGAGTCGAATTAATTATTTCACCAAGGTTAAATAGGCGACTTCTTTATAGAATCACGCAAGGGTTCGATTCGGAAGTTGTCAAAATAATATAATGATTAATAATATCATGTAATAACTCGAAGTATAAAAATCGACAGTGCTGTCTTCGAGGCATTCTCGTAATATAATCTCGTTATTAAAGACTTACCCATGGTGAGATACAACATTGTACGACATGCGTGTCTGCGAGATTGTTTGCTTGCGGAATAAATAACATAGATAAAAATGCTCGAATGTTACGTAGATATTTCCGACATCCAAACGAATGGCTTATTCACCACACACATGTTCACGGACGTGGTACTCATTATACCTAGTAAACTGCAAATTTTTTGGACAAATACTCACAGCTTTCTATTTCCATATTGCATGTCTGTTCATCCATTGGATAGCGTTCTAAATGCATCATACAACTCAATGTGATAGTGAATCTGTCAGAATGAATAGCATTTCATCAATTCTACGGAAAATGTGATTCTACGGAATTACTGAACAATCCTTACAATACTCTAATTCGATGTTCAAACATAATTATGTATGTGCAAACACACGTTCCTATCTAATGCTAAATGATACTTCCCAATTCTTAAAACGCACATATTTATCTAACGTCTACGCAACGCGCATATAAATGACACATATACTGCAAAGAATTGCTCGTTTCGAATCAAAAATGAACTGTGCGCTGTTTTTTATCATTCCATCTGATTAGTATGTCAACGTCAATATATCTATAATAATATTGTACTCAATAAACATAAACTGTTGACCATATTTTCATGTTCCACAAAAAATACGCTCAAATGTGTTCAATGCAACTCATGTCATATACATATATAGTTCCACGATCAAATTTGAGAAAAAGCACTATATATAAGATGTGTCAATTATTCTATGACGTGTGCAAACATACGTTCCTATCTAATGCTAAATGATACTTCCCAATTCTTAAAACGCACATATTTATCTAACGTCTACGCAACGCGCATATAAATGGCACATATACTGCAAAGAATTGCTCGTTTCGAATCAAAAATGAACTGTGCGCTGTTTTTTATCATTCCATCTGATTAGTATGTCAACGTCAATATATCTATAATAATATTGTACTCAATAAACATAAACTGTTGACCATATTTTCATGTTCCACAAAAAATACGCTCAAATGTGTTCAATGCAACTCATGTCATATACATATATAGTTCCACGATCAAATTTGAGAAAAAGCACTATATATAAGATGTGTCAATTATTCTATTGTGTGTCTATGCCTAAGCTAATACCGAGAATAAACAAATATGTTCGGAACAAATAAGTTCCGCCATGGAATATTTCGGTGACCCTCCATTTATGACAGCATATTTTCAACTATCCATGTAAATATAAAATGAATGAAGAAACTATTTTGAACAACATTTAAGATTTGGCTCTTTCCAAGAATTGGCAAATAGTCGCGTGTTTAGTGTCTGTCCTGTCACTAAGATTATTGGAAGGGATTGATAGCGGCGATCCGTCAATTACATTATTTTAATATAAAAAAAAGAAACATGCTTGTATTTCAGATATGGAGTAGAGCATTCACCAGCAAACGACATCTCGTGGAGGGGTAATTACTTAAACAATCCGTACTCAATTTAGGAAACATTAGAGTCGCACACTTTCTTGACTGTAAGTGCATTGACCCCGTCGTCTAGTGATGGGCGATTATATAATCCTGAAAGACGGGGCTACGTTGATGTTAACTCCGTAAGTTGTCTTGTGCCAATTTAATATATACTTATTGACTTTATATTCCACACAATAAAGTTAGATAACCCAACTGTACCTTGCACTATGTAGAACAGTACCATCAGGGTAAATTCTCAACAACACGTTCTCCGTTGTCAATTTATGAAACTGTCCAGACTTCTCATCTGGGAAGTAAAGAGGTGGCACCCAGACTTCATTATCTCCATCTGAATGTAACGTCAGCGTTTGGTTTTTATCATTAGTGTACTCTAGTCGGGGATCAACCCATCGTGTTCGAAGAAATAACGTAACTGTATAATCCTATTATATAACAGTACATACAGTTAAATTGAATTATAAGAAGCTTAAAGCGGGGTAGTCGTCACATGCGCTTGCGTTAGATGGCCAAGGCGTGTGAATAATTACAAACAAGATTCTACCCATAAGCCTTTGTCTTTAGCGTGTGTTTTTATCATCGCTTGGGACTCACTTGCCGCGCGTGCACAGGTGACGACCTTCTGCTTTAATGGTTGCTAATACATGAATAGGCTGAATGGTTAGTGGTAACATCAATGAAAGTTAACGTCAACAAACGTCTCGCGAGAATTGAAGCATGCAGGCGAATTACAAGATGATCAAACATACAATTTCAAAAGTATAGACATGGCCATATTTCATTCATTTTTCTTTACCCAATCATGAACGTAAGCAAAAGTGTTATATCACTTATTCCAGCTGCTTCATAAGATTCAAATGTAAGTGTAGCGAGTACATGTACTAGTTTCCACTAGTAACAAGATATTAGTAGAATGATAATTAACTGAATTAAATACTTAATAAATAATGAATAATACAAATAAAATGTTTTTTATAGAATTATTATTACAAATCAAACCACAAATCAAACAAGTACAATTTGACAAGCCAAATTAAGCACACGATTTTCCCAACACAACAGTTACCCACTTAACACCACATTGAAAATCTATACGGGTATGTGCCACTCTACTGAGTATGATTTTCACATCGGTTAGTATAGAATGGGATATCGATATTGATATGTTTATGATCTAGAAGTGGGTTGGATTTTCAAATGTAAACCTTTTAAGAAATATATCCAAACATTGTTGAAAAACGCCTGAAACTGTTATTCAGGAGCTGTCACTGATGGTGTCGTACGTATAATGAAGTCTGACCTGTACTATATAATATATACGACACATCGTGTGGCACAGTGCACGTGCCTTTCAGTACTCTGAAATAAAACTGATACGTTGGTCTAGAAGTGGGTATGCATTACTAAAAGCAATTGTCTAGTAGTGTGTGGGGTCAAAAATAATTGGGCCACACACCCCATTGCGCTGCCTTGAAAGTCCTCCTCCCGTGGTAGGCTCGACTTCTAGTCTATGTTCCTTGTGTGTGTAGTTGCCGTTCATGTTTGTTATACGGTGTTTTCTTTTTTTACCACACTTCAGCGGAAGACTAATTCCAGAATGTAACGATACCGGAAATCCATCTGTAATGTGATAACCATGTTCACAACACAGAGTACTGGTGCTGACATTTGTTAGATACATCAACATTGAACAACAGCATTAATATATATATATACTTTAGTCCCTAGTGTATAACCTTTAAAGTGACATTCTCACTTCTAAAACCTGTAAGGTACCACCCCTAGGCCTGATCAAATGTTGAAATTGTGAAAGGACAATGAGGAATTAACTGTAGAATATGAATAAAACGGGCATTCCAAAAATAGCTAGATTTGTGTACAATTGACACTCGCTGAGTTTGGATGCTTTATTTGTTCTGAAATGTCAGTAACATTGTTTAAAGACTCTCTGAACATAAAATTAGTTTTTAGTCAAAAAAATACCATTTTATTACATTTTATGTCTTTAGCTTGTTGTGATGTTTTATTTTCAAACTGGGAATGCGACCTCACTTTAGACTTTAACAAGCATGATATTAATTTAAGAGTTTATGAGGGAAATCGTTTAGTGTTTACTCTCATTTATTGTCTGATTATTAAGTCCTTCAGACTAAGTGTCACAGTCACCCGTTCGAATTTTATGTAATAAAATAAATTATTTTACACGTGTTTGTATACGTCACATGGGAACAATTCCGCACATGGAGCAGTACGGTGACTGCGTTACTTAAGTACGTCGTGACGAATATGTCACTTTGAAAATAAAACTGCCTGCAAGCCATTAAAGGATGAGAGATAAATGTACCATCGTAAATTCTGAGGTTTATACTCTTCTGTTTGTCTGGGTTCAGTCGAGCTAGAATGAAGCATAAATAATCCGACACATTCGTTGGCCATCTAACAACATTTTCAAAAGGCAAATGTAACAATGTATATACAAATGAATAATTCAGCCAAAGAGGGGGCATATATTTCGTAATTGTAACATATATATATATATATATATTGATTCGTATTTCACTGTAAGATCAAAGAGGCCGCACAATCTATTCGAGACAACATTATTTAATTTCAGACCTACTTAAACGTTTTTAATTTCCTCATCGTGTGTTTGTAATATATAACATTTATAATTAATCGTAAATAAAAATAATTGCATTCCCGGTTACACATTTCAGGTATACAGTATATGGATCATTTCATCGATTAAAAAGAACCATGCAGACAGCGTGTTGATCAAAGTACACTCAGCACACTAATGCAATTAGGGGTAACATGCGATTACGCAATCATCGTCGTTTGCTACACAGCATGACCACTTCAGTCAATCACATGTCAAAACATGAGAACGATGGGGAGTTGTGAATAAATTAAAACAAGGCAACACGGAGCTAATACTTCTACGTGAACAACAAACGGGGTTTTATATGTTTATGTAGAACACCTGGCATGCAAACATAAATTTCAGTAGTACATTTTCCGATAAATCTCACTCGGCTAAGAATTTCTGCCACAGGTAAAAATTTACACGTCTCTGATATGCTCGTGTATTTCCAAATGATCGTTTTAACGATCCAAGTAAATTACACTCAGCAAAGTAACCTATTCAGGATTAGAGGTTTTAGTGATCTACTTGTCTAGTTATTCAACTTCCACTATCCAATACGTGTGCGTGAATGAATAACACAACCAACAACCTTTAGTCAATACGGCGGAGAATGTACTACCGTCACATATGACAGTAACGTGTGACAGTGACAAAACTCAACATCTACGTGTTTCAATACATGCATGGACACTAAAGATCCCCACGTTTACATGTCTATATTATCTCAAAGTCAAATAATGTTGGAGCATTGTCCTTTTATAATTACCTCGGCGACAAGCTGTAACATATGAAGTCATAGTGGTTAGAATGGTAGAATGTTTAATTCACGACGAATTCAAGACACAGACTCGGATATGATGCAGAAATTTAGGATTACGATTTTATCCAAATAATAGTATCAGATATCACACTTTCTACATATTGAAACGACCGTATTTCCGGTTGTTTTGAATGACCAAATAATTATGTAACTGTATGCCGGATAGAGTTATAAAGTTTGCGTACGATATCGTGTGTAATTATAACATATATATGACTTCAAGTTGATAGTTATATTCTAATTTTCATTGAGTGCCTATGGTACCTTGATGTATTCTAGAGATATTATGTTTGTACACAATATTATTATTGACAAAGTTAATTTATTAATACATAACAATTACATACACGACATTAATGTTGCGTTGCGATGATGACATTATTATAAGCTATAATTGTTTATTGGCAATGTACTTGGAAATTGTTATTAGTATATATCAACAAAATATTTGCATCACGAGTGTGAAATAACATACCTAACCATAGATCGAACACAACACAAATGACTGGCAACAATCGAAATGAAAAAAAAAAAACATCCAAAATAACAAAACAATTATGTACATTACACTACATTGATATCGACGTCATAGTGTACTAATGTATGCCATGATGTTAGGTAATTCGAAAAGAGTGAGTACACCCTGCTCCATATATGGCAATAGTCGCACACTTTTCAAATATTTTTATTGGAAACCTGTCAACATCAGATAAGTGACATTGATTTCATCTAATATTACCTGTGAAACAATGTTAGTGTATTCAACTACAAGCTTTAGTGTCTCCCAAAACAATATTTTGAATGTCTAATAGTATCATCATCATCTCAGCCTTTCATGCCACTGCTGGCGGGTGGCCTCCACGGCGGCTTCTTTTGTGTTGTGGGGTTGAACCGCAACCTACCACGTTGGCTTAATGCTCAATCGCTTGGACAACAGGGCTATGAAGCCGGTAGTACGAGGTTACATTTTACCCGTAGTAAGTCAATTCGACCTAACCTGACCTGCATATAGCACATATATGTGAGGAGCAGTATTAAGACAGCATGAATTATCCTGTCATATTTTGTTCTTCAATGTATATAGACCGTATTAGATATCACACTTTCTACATATTAAAATGACCTCATTTCTGGTTATTTAAATTGACCAAGTAAACCTGTATACAAATATAAAGATTTGGTATACTGTGTGTAATTACAAAACATAAATGACGTCGAGATAATGGTTAAATATTAACTTCCGTTGACTGTCGAGGTTATCAATATTATTAATACGTTAATACGTTAACAATTACATACAGGTCATTAATGTTCCTTCCCAGTGTATGGACGTTACTCACCATTCCTGTGTCTGTAGAGGAGTAGAAACTGTTAATGAGTACACTGGCCGTTACAATCACGGGTGGACCTACAACAAGAACAAAAATAGAATTCTGTAAATGTAAATATTACTTACTCTATAATGTAGTCAATAATTGTATGATACAGTTATAAAATCGTAATACATGTATGAACACACATTTGCTTTTTATCGTGGAGGCAATATTTTGACTAGATATGGTCACTCAGTAGACGCATAACAAATAGTAAATGCTATGACTACGAAATGCAATCAGACTGGCTCTGTTCCAAAAGATTGTGGTTTTGAGTAGTGTAGTATTTGTGTATTATTCACAGCAGCTAGACTATGCCATTACTATTATTTAGCGCCACTAGCTGCCATTAGAATATGTTTACTGCAATTGAGACTCAAAACCGAAGAATCAAGAGTACTCGATGTTGAAGTTACGTTTCATATGCTTGTACTTGATTATGCACAGATTTTATATTTGTTAAAAGCTTGGTTCTCATACCAGCTCCCCAACTAGTAATTACACAAACTATATAAACAAATGACATCAAACATTAGTTTATGACAAAAGATAGGAGTCCTCGGGACAATATATACGAAGAATATGCTATTTTCGAAACGCGCAATAAAGCAACAGCTGACTAAACTAAATGCACCGTTAACAATCATGAAATAACATGCTGTTATATTCCGTGGCTAAAACGACATCGGAGGGTGAAATGATAGACTGATCGCAATTTCAAATGTCGAGAATGTGCATGATGTCTAATTACGTAGGAATGTGGCGTCATAATTGAGGCACTTTTCAGACCAATTGATCAGAAAGACAAACTATAAGGAACAGTCATTATTAACATTAATCATTCACATTGTCCGATCACAGTTTATCAATAGGAATACAACCAACACGAACATAACCTGTGAAGTTAATGGCAGATCGAGTTGTCACTAAGAGACTCTATTGAAATTCTTATTATTCAGAATTCATAAAAATGATGGCATGAATAAGCTGTGGTTTTATAATAAAACTAAAAAAAACATGTAATGATTATTTGTTAATTAAATATTAGACTTTTACTTTAAATGCAGCGGTGATTTGACAGAAATGTTTCTACCTTGTAAGTGTGGATTTATGCTTTCGGAGTTAGGCAAATAATTATGTAATTTACATTTATATTGAGTTTTATTTCTAAAACGTCTATATTTCAAAATAAATCTGGACGTCTTCAGTATATTATGTATTATGTATCAAATTATACTTATGCAAATAACCGACAAGATGTCGTCAAGGAGGACACATCAACGGGATTTGTTTTTTCTCATAAAACATTGTTTCAATGTATCACGTCATCGCATTTACTATTTCGAATACGTACGCCATGCCATCGGTGAATGAAATGACGGGTGAGAATTAAACACTGGTCTTTTAATGGGAAAATAAATATCGTGACTCTCTCGGTATGTACGAAATCTTGGTTCTTATTCGCGTCTAAGGTCAATTGTCTATTTCATCTGATGGGTTGTGGATCCAGTTTCAGATCATTAGTTTATGTATATGCTAATTACATCATCACATCACGTGAATTTCTTACTATTTTTACAGCTGTACGTCTGCGTTAATAAAAATTAACCCAATTTGAGGATAGTGCTTTTATACACGAGATAGTGTCTTAATTGTCTATAACATCGTCATCGGTTGGCAAATTGCAGCATAATAGTTATAAAGTAACAGTATTCTGTCAAATCATGGTATAATTACAGAAACTAACATAAACTATGGAATCCGATTGTCATGTTGTAATCGAATTTTTAGATTACACATGGTATAAAAATTACGTTTTAACATACACCTTTATATCTGGCACATATTGGAATTTATGTAATTTAATTGATTTATAGTAACTATAAATTTAAAATTGTGTTTTATTGACGGAAATCGTCACTGAATTCATGACTATTCCTGGTGAATTGTAACTCACGTAGACTTACAGCCAAAACAAAGTCAACTTGGACGTTCAGTTGCGAGACGTAACGAAAAAAAACGCAGCCAGTGATACATTTTGAAAACAAAAATACAAAATAAACGCAATCAGAGGCGCCGACCACGCGCGTTGGTAATAAATAGAACGCGTTGTGACACAGTCTCACCAGCCTCTTTCACTGACGCAATATATTTATGCTATTTCCCAACGCGCTTATATTTAATACATTGACAAAAAACACCACAAGAAAATTGTAAATCAAGCTTGTAATTACAAGTAATTAACAATTTGAGACATTGTTAAAAAATCCTGTACAGGGTTATGTCTTATGTAAACTAATAAGACGCAATTATCCAGGCAGT